ATGGACGCGATGTTGTCTGGGGGTTTGGCTAAAGGAGAGTGGGACGGTGGGCGGTGCTCGGGGTGGTGACTGAAGGCGGTGACTGTGTAGTTCTGACGTCAACTTTTTACGGAAGTCACAACTGTTCGTGAAAAATCACAACTAATTTATGCAGGCTGTGTGCATTTTGCTGTGGACTGACTGTTTTGAAACTTATATGGTAGTTAAATAGCCCCTAGACCTCAGTTATCGTGAAAAAAGCCAGGAAATTTCAGTTTTGACAATATGGGACCTTTAACCTATGATTTATAGTTTAATTATACTAAAGCTTCTAGAATCATACGAAGCTGCATCAAAGCCCATTTTCGAAATTCCTGCTCTGTCGCTAACATGTTACCTATTGTTGTGAATGAAAGACCCTCCTTCTGCATGTCTCTCTCTTTCATATTATCTCATTTACTTTCATATTCCCTCCTCTTTTTAAGGCACCATGTGGTGTTGACGGACAGGCTCCGTGGTGAGACGGGAGGGAGGTGGATGATGACCTCCGAGCGAGCTCTGCTGCAGCGGTGACAGCTAGGTGACACATGCAAGCCTCTGAGCACATGCATAACTCCTGCTTATTCATTGTCCCTGACAACCATGCTTAATTAATCACCGAGGTGTGGCAGTGTGGGCAGCTTCCTTGACAGGAAAAGTTCTGCGTAGGAAACTAGCCATAGTTATGCTGTGTGTACAAAAACATTAACATATTAACACAGCGCCATAAATTATTTTTGATCGGTTAATTTATATTTAAAGGTCTACTTATAAACAGTCATTATGCAGAATCAGTTTCTTCCTAAACAGTGTTTAATTATTGCAGTGTAGTTTTTCTTTGTTTATTTGTATCTTCTTAATGTATTATTTATATACTGCTACTACTAATAATAATAATAATGTTATAATAATTTATAATAATTCTATTTATGCAATTCATTAATTACGAATGCTAAAAATACAATAATGATAATTATTATTGTTATTATTATCATTATATTTTTACTACTATTAATAATAATAAATATTTTATTTTATATAATAATAAATATTTTATTATCATGATCATTTGTCATACAGTTGTAATTATTATTATTAGTAGTATATAAATATTATATAAACAAAATAGTTATATTTAATAACCAATATTTATTAAACATTTTAACTTATTATTATTTTTTATTTTTATCTGATTATTTATTCATATACTGCTGCTACTAATAATTATTGTTATTATGATTAAACTATATTTTTAATAATAACATTAATGGTGTATATAAATATTATATAAACAAAATAGTTAAATGATGATGATTATTATATTTTATATATTACTAAAGTCAAAAACTAAGGAAAAGAATGAGGAGACAAAAAGAAATAAGGTGCTCCGTTAGGTAGACAGTCTGGAAGGTTTGTCATGAATTGAATGGCAAACAAATCTTTTGAAGGCTGGCATAAAATTTTGTGGAGCACACCACCTGCTCTCTTTTTATGCTTTGATGTTCAAAAGTTCTTTTTAGTATCCTGGAACCATTGGATACAATTGTCAATGGAAACTTCAAAATGTTCAGTGCCCAAGCTATCCCTATCACATTTTCTTACCACTTTTCAGAAGTCCAAATTATTGAACGTGCATGGGCCTGAGGGCTGACAAGAGTTCTCTTATGAACTTGCATGATAAAGTTCTGAAATTACTCATTCATGTCTGAGCCTCAGCACTTAAGATACTGACAGGCTTAGCATAATGGCTTAGAGTTATGCCTCACAGATTTAGAGAGGCTAAAAATATTGTATTTTTCTCTTACCTGGGATTAGAGTGAAGAAGAGGGTTCATTTCTTTCTGATAGTGCTGGCCTTGATCCACTGGCTGTGAAGAATAAGCACTGTATATTTATAATCTGGTTCAGGGGCCATGTCTGCCCACTATTAGCTCCAGTCTAGTATATAGGAAAAAACAATATGTTCTGGATAACTGCATTCCTTACTGTAAAATAATGATTTAAGCCTTTATAGTTTGGAGCAGTGGTTCTCAACCGGTGGGCCGTGAATCAAAACTGAGTTGCAGGTCTGTTCTGATAGAGTCTAATACTAATGCTGTTCCATCAGCTGAAAAAAAAAAATGTTTAGAAAGCGATTCCACTGATATCATTCCTCAGTGACGTTATTGTTATAGGCGTGGTGTGGATTCTGCTATTTTTAATTTTTTTTTAATTCAGAATGATTTTTAAAACTATATCTTTGAATATAAAATTTGACATTTTTCTTTTACTTCTGCATGATAAATGATTTGTTACGGTGTCGTTTCACCACTTGATGTCTAATGTAAAATCTGGTTCCTGAGGCACAACTAGAAGCACTTAATTATTGTGCATGTTCTTCTCGCCTGATGGTGGCAGTATTGCTATGTTTTCACAGTCTTACAGTCCACTAATTTGCAGTTTCTCAATACCAGGCATGATTAGCAGTTGCAGCATATCTTTCTAATCAACAGACAACAACAGCATCAACAACTGATGGATAGGGTCTGATATTGAAACGCCATGGGAGTTTATTTCACTCTAATTAGTGGGTTTTTTTATATAAACTGTTTGATTGCCCTTCTTTATAGGAAAACAGTTTTAATATTCTCTCTATTATTTGCCTGCTAGCTACAGCTCATCCATACAAAGCACTCTGTAACCGAGGAGCCTAATAATGAAGAAGGAATTCAGGCCTTCCTGCGCTGTGCTCAAGTGTGGCAATGTGCTTGACTTATGTAATTATAACTGCCGTAAATGTCTGTACAGTGTATGTGTGTGTGGTTTGTAAGCCCACCAAAGGAATACACTGAGTCCAGGTTGAGGTGTCATCGCTGCTTGCACTCAGACTTATGTTGCAGTGGTGAACCTGACAGAAGATAAAATAGTGTTTATTTACTGGTATTGTGTTTTTATATTCTGACTCACAACACCTGGAAAGAACATGTGTCATATGCATCAAGTCAGAAATATTTTATTATCTGCCGTCAGGCCAGCCCGCCGGAGCTCCATCAACACCCTCCGTAGACACTCCAGGTGAGTCTCCCAGCCCTCTGAGTGTATAACAACATCATCCAGGTAAGCCGCGGCGTAGGCTTGGTGGGGCCGGAGCAAGATGTCCATCAACCGCTGGAACGTGGCTGGTGCCCCGTGTAGGCCGAAGGGTAGCACCCGGTAATGCCAGTGGCCATTGGGAGTGCTAAAGGCTGTCTTCTCCCGGGACTCCGGGGAGATTTATACATTTTATAGCTACTGAAACATCAAGTTGAATCAAAACTGTGAAATAGCTCTGGTTGTGAATAAGGATGAGGTCATTAATACTGAATCAACCAACATCCTTATACTGATATTCAATTGACATATCAATTATAAAAATAATTTGAAATTAAACTTTTAATAACAACAACCACATCAATTAATAATAATAAAATAATATTCATTATATATATAGGTGGGTGATTTATTGCCCACACACTGATCACACGTGCTCTGATGAATGGTGCTCGGTGCCCGTCTCAGCGTGGTGCTCGTGGGGTGCAGTGCCGTGGTGCAGATCCCTCTCCCAGGGTGCCTTCGGATTCTGTGAACAAGGAGAAACAAGCATTAATGTCGCCTGGAGCTCCGGGGTGCCTTCCCGCTGGTGTCTCTTCTCCTGGCTTTTAAGGCCAGCGGGAACGAGCTCCAGGTGCGCCACTCATCGCGCACAGGTGTTGTGCGTCGGTGATCAGTGTGGCAGCGGCGTTTCCAGGGCGACGCTAATCTGGACTCGGGATACTCGCCACACTATGTTGAATGCTCAATGTTTTTATATATATATATATTTTTATATTTATATTTTTTCAGGATTCTTTAAAAAACAAAGTTTAAAAGAACAAAATATTTCAAAAGATTAAAAATAGAAATCTTTCCAAATGTTATAAATCTGTATATATAAATTTACTGTCACTTGATCAATTTTGCATCCTTACAACCATATATATATATATATATATATATATTATATACTTACCAAGGCTGCATTTATTTGATCAAAAATACTGTAAAATTGCAAAATGTTAGTGCAGTCTAAAGCAGCCATTACTCCCATTTTACGGTCACGTGATAAATGTTGAAAACACTTGTGCTGCTCAATATTTTGTGATAATTTTTTCAGGATTACTTGAATAGAAAGTTCAAAAGAACAATTATATGACATATAAATCTTTTGTAAGCTCAAAAATGTCTTTACTGTCAGTTCGATCAATTTATTGCATCTTTACTGAATAAAAGTGTTAATTTCTGTAAAAAAAAAAAAATCCTACTGACCCCAAACTATTGAACAGTAGTGTGTACATTAAAATATTTGAAATATTTATATTAAAATATTTAAAAATAAACAAATATGTGTAATATACAGGTGCATCTCAATAAATTAGAATGTCGTGGAAAAGTATTTCAGTAATTCAACTCACTATTCTAATTTGTTGAGATAGTGAATTGGTGGGTTTTTGTTAAATGTGAGCCAAAATCATCACAATTAAAAGAACCAAAGACTTAAACTACTTCAGTCTGTGTGCATTGAATTTATTTAATACACGAGTTTCACAATTTGAGTTGAAATACTGAAATAAATGAACTTTTCCACGACATTCTAATTTATTGAGATGCACCTGTAGCTGTATATCATTTCTTCAATGCTTTCTTGTTTTGATTTAGGCTGAAATACGAATATGAATTTCCTACCTGTGATGCACTAAGGCCCGGGCCGCCCATGTCTCCGTCTCCTTCTTCCTCCTGCTCTCTCTTTAAACTGGCCAACATTCGCAGCTCATCTTCCTCATCCTCTTCGTCTTGACTTCTCCTCAGATCACACCTGCTGGAGCCCAAAGGTTGAACCCTCTCATCGATACTCACCTGTAAAGCCCAAAAATCTCATTACTTCATCAGTGCCACTTTGTAATGAGACAGATCGTTACTGGGTATAGCTAATTAGCAAGCAATCAATCAAAGCTTGCAAGCTAATTGGCACCCCCATTAAGGCCAAGACATCAGCAGGGATGGCTGCCTGCTGCTTAGAAATCCACTTACTGTATATAAAGTCCAACCTGGATCTATGAGCAACCTTCCAGATAAGCTCAACAAACTTCACCAGCATCAAAGATATGTGCCATGTTTAAATGGGGAAAGTAGTGTTATGGGGCATCCGTAATGATCCTCAGTAATTCCCACATCAAACTCCATTTAAAGCATTTAGTTAATGACTGTTTCAGACCTGTGGTGAGAGTCTAGTTGTGCTAAATGCTTGGACCCGTTTTAGTCCAAACATATTCCAACCTCTAAGAGAGGAAAGAACACTAATGAGTTCTCTTTTATATCCCAGTTGTTTCTCCTAGTAAACAATGAGATGAAATGGAGAGTAAATGGAGACTTTGCTGAAGGCTAATGCTTCTCAAGTTTATCAAACAATTCTGTCATTTTGATATTCTAATATTTTGAAGAATGTTTCAGCTGTTTTTGTCCATACAGTTGAAGTCAAAAACAATACTGTTCCCCATTGACTTTAATTGTATGGACAAAACAGGAAATTTTTATGGATATTCTTCAAAATATCTTCTTTTGTGTAGATTTGTCTTGCATGCATCTGTAGTGATAGGGGGAGTAGGTTATTTCTGTGTACATGATTATTTCATTTAATTTATTTATTATTATCTTTTGCGTCTTGCAGAAGAAAGAAATTCATACAGCTTTGGAATGACATCAGGTGAGTAAATGATTAAATGTACATTTTCATTTTGGGGTGAATTATCCCTTTCGCATAAAACTAAAATGCAATGTATATGATTGTGTACACACTGAAAAAAAATTTGGAGTAGGATTTACTTTGAAACCATTTTTATTCAGAAATTGCTATTAAATTTCACAAATAATTACAAAACAATGGCACATTTAAACATGAAATGTAGAAGTTAAAAGACAGAAATAGTAATTTCCTGTAAAACATACTCCAATAATCTTTGCTTTATTTACAAATATTTTTTATTGTCTTTGCAATGTAAACATCACATTAGGTTTTGACTGTGTGTGAAGAATTATCTCATTTGTGTCATAAGCTAAGAAAGAGCGACCTCTGATCAATATAATTTTCTGCTGGGAGTTCAAATCCACAGAAAATATGTTTTATAAATCACGAAGACAAAAGAACACTATGTCCAAGCCATTTGCAAAATTTTGCCATTTGCAATTTCCAAATGCATCTGTCCTGGGCTGGAATGGGGATCAGGAGCCCTTCCTGGGCTGGACTGGGCTGGACTGGACAGACAGAGTCTGACAGCATCAGAGATGCAAGGTCACAACCCACTCCCCTCAGTCTGAATGGATTCAGATTAAAACATCCAGACTCTGGGGAAGATAAGAACCACACCAGTTCTGAAATTACAATAAGAACAGAGGCCCTCATAAACATGCCACTCTGCTGGAGTGCACCAATTCAGCTGAAGTATGTGCTTGATTTGATCCCCTCTAACCCTGCATGCTTGCTACGGTTAAAAAACATTTCATCCACATGAACACAAGGCCATGTGATTGGTGTGGGTTCACTCCACAAAACCTAAGTGCTTGCTATATTTTGAGGGTTGTTTCTCTATCTTACATAAATTATGCTTGCATATTTCTCTCCTGATTCAGATGTGATGACTTTTTCATTTGAAAAAGCAATTTTATGAATAGAAGATTTGTATTTTGGATGGAATTTGTGTGGTTTATTGTGTTATTTTTATCAGCTGTTTATACTATTTTGAGGGTCGTTTCTCTATCTTACATAAATTATGCTTGCAACTTTGTGCTGATTACTCGAAGGGATAATTCTGTCATCATTTACTCACCGTGATGTTGTTCCAAACCTGCATGACTTTCTTTCTTCTACTGAACACATAAGAAAATGTTTGGAAAAATGCTGGCATCCAAACAACATTGGGCCCCATTGACTTTCATTGTATTGAGATTAATCTTTTTTTTTTTAAATCTTATTTTGTCTTGATTTTTGCTTGCATGCATATGAATTACTTATTTAATTTAATTATAATTCTTTTATTTAACTTTACCCCTTTGACTTTCATTGTATGGACAAAAACAATAAGACAATCTTAAAAAAACAGAAGAAATCCATACAGGCTTAAAAAGACATGAGGGTAATTAAATGATAATAGAATTTTCTTTTTTTATCCCTTCAAAAGGTAAACTGGCTCACCTTTTGGAGGCCAGAATTCTTCAGTGAAATCTCTCGCACAGATGCTCTGTTGATAGATATCCTGGTGTCAGCTTCGGACCGATCCAGTCTGCTCCCTTGTCTGGTATTGGGTGAGAGGCAGCGGGTTGGTGCTATTCGCATGGGTTCATGCCTCTTTGGTCCTTCAGAGACATGCTGGACTGTGGAAGCTTGAGTCTTAATTGGCTCAGAAGAGAACTTGGGTAGGACTGTGTATTTTTGTACTGAAGGAGGTGATGGGGGAGCAGTAATGGAATGGACTGCACATCTCAGAAGGAACTCGGTATGTATTTCATCCTGTGAAGCAAAAAGAAGTAATTGGTGTTAGAAATAGATTGTATGAAATAACTAAATTTTTATTTAAGTCATGAAATGGTTGATGTGTAGTGGGTTGTTGCTAGGGTTGTTACTAGGTGATAGCTTATTAGTCTTTATTATATTCTAGTTGCCTTCTCTGTAAATCTATGAGATTTTCTGCTTGTTTTTGGCTGTAACACAAAGGACTTAGTTCACACAAAAATGAAAATTTAGTGAAGATTTGCTCACCCTCATGCCATCCAAGATGTAATGCTATAAAATCTGTTCTGATGAAGAAACAGACACATCTACATCGCTTGCTCACCAAATGGATCCTCTGCAGTGAATGGGTGCCGTCCAAACAGCCGATAAAAACACAACAATAATCCACAAGTAATACACGTGACACCAGTCCGTCAATTTATGTCTTGTGAAGTGAAAAGCTGCATGTTTGTACAAAACAAAACACAACATTAAGATGCTGTAGCTTCTGGCCAAAATACGAGTCCATAATCCATAATAACGCTTCTTCCAGTGAAAACGCCCATCCTCTGTTGTCTTCTCACATCAAATCCAATGACATATTTGTTTAAAATTCTTTTGGACTGCTTTCACTTGTAAACAGTGCTTGATCTGTGCATATTTCTCTCCTAATTCAGATGTGACGACTTTTTCATTTGAGAAAGCAATTTAATGAATAGAAGATTTGTATTTTATATGGAAGTTGTGTGGATTATTGTTATTTTTTCAGCAGTTTATACTCTGATGGCACCCATTCACTGCCAAATAATGCAAAATTTCTCCAAATCTGTTCTAATGAAGAAACAAACTCATCTACATCTTTGATGGCTTGAAGGTGAGTAAATTCTCAGGAAATTTTTATTTTTGGGTGAACTATTCCTTTAAAGAATAGTTGTTTTTGTCTCTCTTTCTTTTTCAAATAAACTTCCTTAGCAAGCATCACTAATTATGACATCTCGAAATTAATAACGCCACTACGCTCAATTATTTTCTTTCAGTCTGGGCCATTAACACAAGGAAGGATATCCGTTAATATATCAAAATTCCCTCTAAAACTACAAATATTAAATTTATCAACAAACTTGCGATGGAGTCATAAAGAGAATGATGAAATCTCTTGCAAGGGTCTCGGAGCCACGAACGCCAACGCTGTCACAGATGAAACGCATTAATAGCCACGACGCGAGACAGTCTGGCGCGGGCAGAGTAACATCAGAGTTACCTGTAATTAATCAGCGCGACACTGTGCCTAGAAAGTTGTCTGTCTCTGCTCTGTTTTGGAAAAGATAAGGTCTTTAAACTAGTGAGGCTTTGATCTACACTAATGGTCTTAAACAGCAAGCTTCACACTAATGATGACAAGCTCACTAAAAGGGCACGGCCAGCCGAGCCATCAGATCAGCCAAAGTTTTTGCCTCCTTTCTTTCCATCTTCATATCCCCCGAAGGGACCAGTTTTAATATTTCAGCTTTTTTATTTTTTTTGGTTTAAAAAAAAGTGTCATCTTCTCTCACTATGTGAAATGCTGACATTCGGTAAACACACATCAGTCTGGCGCGGCCCTATATCTATTTGCAATGAATTTATTTAAACTGGGCAGGTTATCTACAAAACTCAATGTGTTTAGTGGCTATTAAGCTGTGTTGCAAATGAGTTTCAATATGTTACTGCTTCATCTGTCTTCCGATGACAACTCTGTGGCATTAATGAAAGTCATTCGGCGAATATAATCACCTCTGCTTCTAGTGGAAATGATTTACACAGGTGCAAGTTATAGAGGTACAACATAAACATAATGTTCAGAATACTCAGACAAGTCATTATTTCTTTTTTTCATCTCCCATTAGTAATAAGTAGACAAATGCAGACATCTACTTTTTTGAGAATGCAGATGAAAAACAAATAAAAAATGACATGAAAAGGGAATTTATCAAGGGCGGGGACGGAAGGGGAAATAAACAACAAATAAAACTGTCAGCGGTATCAATCAAAAATCTCTAATTAAGTGCAGCAGAACATATGTATGCCAAAGATGAGACTGATTTCCCAGGAGGAGATGAAACCGACTGCGAATAATGAATGATGTTCCTCTCAGTGGACGCAGAACCCAAGAGCACGGTGGAGCTCAATGCCGTCTTGTCAGAAATGAACTGAACTGAAGAAAACTGATGGTTTTCTTCATGGATTTAGCTGAATGGCAGGGCCCCTGGGGGCCTCAATCAGGTTGTGTGTGTATGTATCATTAACAGATGACTCCACTAGATCGTATTTCCTTTAGAGGGATCTTGAAAAGAAAACAATGCAGGCAACATGTGTTAAGGAGATGGGGAATTGTTGCAGTTGTAGTGTTGGCATATTTCTACAGTACAAGCATCTGTTGCGATAAAGGAGAATTGATTATTTTGACAGGTGTCTCAACAAAAGTGTATCATTTTAACAAAATTAAAAGATAAACAAAATGTAAAGTACCTTTGGATATAAACATTGCTTATTTAACTGAATTGTATTTTATTGCTTGACTTACTTTTGTTGTAAGGACTTTTTTATTTTATTTTATATTTTATTTTATTTTTACTTTAATTGTGAGGACATTTTCAAAACATCTTTTATGTTCCAAAGAAGAAAGAGATGCATGCTGGTTTGGAAAAACATCAGGGTGAGTAAACGATGAGAAAAATATATTTTATATTAAACGGTTTAAAAAATACTTTCCTTGTAATGTTTTAAAATATCTTATTTTTTGCTTTACAGAAGAAAAAATGCATGCTGGTTTAAAACAACATGAAAATGAGTACACAGTGACAGCATTGTCATTTATTTTCTTTATGTTGAAATACTTTTTTCAATTTTGTGTTTTGTTTTGTTTTTGTTTTGACTTCATTAAAAATAAAAATCTTCAATATTACTGTGACCCAACATAGTACACACAGTTTAGAAAATGGATAGATGGATGAAATAAAATTTTATTAAAATTATTTCAATCAAATGTATTATTATTATTATTATAAATTAAATGACTGTTAAAAATCCCAACTTTAAAAAAAAAAGAAAATAAGGCATCATCCATGCCAAAGCGCACCCATTCTGTAAAAAAAGCACAACTGAAAATAAGGTCTGATGGTAATAATGTTGAGAAAACAATTTCTACTTGTTTCTATTTCTTCAACTGACTTACTGTTTCTATAAAGATCAATAATAGACATCTAATTACTAAACATAATGTTTAGTCTTTCATTTTTTATAGCGGCACTCGTGTTTCTCGCCTGCGTTCATTTTAATGAGCATATGCAAATAAGTGCAGAAGCAGAATCCTTAAAAGACTGAGATGAATTCTACTACGCTTGCCAACTGAGAGTAGGAATTTATAGGACTCGTCCAACCTCTTTCATTTGATAACTGCAGCATTATGCTTTAATTACACCAACTTATATTCCTCATGAAATAGTAATGCCATCCGACTTATCCAATCTGACAGAAACTATGCATTTTCTCTTCGTGATTTCATATGAAGATCTGTCTAGGACAAGACTAAGAGCTTATTTAATTTTTATGTCTATTTTGTACACAGTTTATCACAATTTAGCTCTAATTATCTGTTGTGCAGCTCTACTAGCCACTTGATAGCCCAATAGAATAAACGCTTAAATTACTTTAGCAACATTCTGAATGTCCTCAAATCTGTTAATTGGATGTGAGAAGCAAGTCTCAAGTCCTGCTAAATCAATTAATGTCAAAGCCATAAATTTATTGCTGTCTCTGTATGTTAAAGTGCGTGTATGTTGTCTGCGTGCCATACCTCTTCACTCTCACTACCGACAAAATCATCCTCCAGACGTGCATCTTTGCGCTCTCCTTCTGTTACCAGCTTGTGACCTTTAAGGCCAAAGGTCAAATCCTCAACAGGGTTGCTGCTAGCCTGATTCCGTCTGGCTGAGTGAGGGCATGAGGAGAAAGTGAAGACTTCCTCTTCGTATTCCTCATCGCAGAGAGAGAGCTCAGTTTCTGTGTCACAAAGGTCAGCATCATCTGTAGTCAGCAGACGCTCTGGAGGTGAAGCAGCGCATGGAGGCTTGAAGGCTGACCCAGATGTATCCGCACTAGAAGCACAGTCTGCAGAAATATGACAGGAAGATTTACAGGTAATATCACCATTTGTTGCCATTTAAAATGTGCTGTACTTTGTATATGTTAGTATTTTGTCTTGTTTTTAAATGCTGTCTGGCTTTATTTTGACTGACTGACAAGTCTTAGGCCACACATACAAATGTATAAATATCTGTGTACTATATAAACAAACACAAAGTGGCATTTACAGTATTTAAATGAAGTTTGAAAAATGTTTAATCAACAATTTTACAAAAGAAGTTTGATAAAACAATAGATGTATTGTTCGAAATTAAGACAAAAAATATTTGGACACTGTCTAGTTGTAAAGGCAAGTATAATGCACTGAAATTCATATATTTGTGTACCTAAGTATCAAAAATTGTCCCAATACTTTTTTGGCAACTGTATTCACCACCATTCAAAAGTTTATGGGTCAGTAATTTATTTATTTATTTTTAAGAAATTACTACTTTTATTCATTAAGAACACATTAAAATGATCAAAAATGACAGTAAAGATGTTTACATTGTTATTAAAAATGAATAAATGTTGTTCTTTTGAATTTTCACACGGTTTCCACAAAAATATTGAGTGGCACGACTGTTTTCAACATTGATAATGTTAAACAACAAATCAGCATTTAGAATGATTTCTAAAGGACCATGTGACACTGAAGACTGAGTAGTGATGCTAAAAATTCAGCTTTGCCATCTCAAGAATAAATTCGATTTGAAAATATATTAAAATATTAAATGGTTATTCAAATTATAATATTATTTCACAAAAATATTGTTTTACTGCATTTTGATCAAATAAAATTTATGCAGCCTAGGTGAGCAAAAAAAAGACTTCTTTTAAAAACATTTTAAAAAAGACACCAAATCTTTAAACGGGAATGTAAATATAATTTTAGAACTTTTTTAACACTTACATTGGCAGTAACAGTAGAGAGGATACATAAAATCATTTAAGGAGAGAGATTTTGCTTTTGTTTATTTGTCAAAGTGCACCGTTTCTGTAAAAAAAAGCTCTGTTGAAAAAAAGGCCTGATGGTAATAATGTTGAGAAAACAATTTCTACTTGTTTCTCTTTCTTCCACTGACTTACTGTTTCCATAAAGATCAATAATGGAGATCTAATTACTAAACATAATGTTTCGTCTTTCATTTTTTATAGCGGCACTCGTGTTTCTTGCCTGCGTTCATTTTAATGAGCATATGCAAATAAGTGCAGAAGCAGAATCCTTGAAGATTGAGATGAATTCTACTACGCTTGCCAACTGTGGGCGAGTAGGAATTTAAAGGACTCGTCCAACCTCTTTCATTTGATAACTGCAGCATTATGCTTTAATTATGCCTTAAAATATACATAAATGGGGGAGACGCGTTGAAACGATATTTTAAAGATGTAAATGGAAGGAATTTACATCTGCGGTCCTAAGAGAATAACGGAAAAATAGCATTAACTAGTTGTGTGTGTGTATGGGTTCAGGAATGGGGGAGAGGGTGGGGGGACTTTCTGGCTTTCCCACTGACACAAAAACAGCATCATTAGTAAATAGGGAGCAATGGTACAGTAAGATCATAATTCAGACGGGGCGATGTGTGCCTGTGGGGTCTGCATGCCCTCATACTAAAGAGAAGACACCCAGAGAGCAGGGAGCAAAAGACACCACAGAGACCAAGTGATGAATTTGCCATATGAGCGTACAGCGCTTTGATCTACTTCAGCAAAATGCACAGAAGCAAAAAGTCTAAACCGCTGTGAAGTTGTGTGAACTGTGTGAACCTAAGCTGTACTTTCTCATACTTGGAGACAAGGACAAAGAAAGGGCATTGGAGACCCGAACAAATTGTTTTGCGCTTTAAGTTACTCTGGCTGATGACTGTCATCGTCCACTACAAATGCACAGGGCTGCGTTTCCCAAAAGCTTCGTAAGACTAAGAAGTTCGTAAAAACAATAGTGCGGCCCAGTGGAAAAAAAGGTTGAGAACCACTGATTTAGATTAATGTTTACAGCAAATATCTTTTTATTGCTCTGTGGTTGCTCTTTTATAGCTCATAAAACTTCTCAGCTATGTTTCATTTAAAGGAATAGTTCACCCAAAAATTACAATTTGCTAAAAAAATATACTCAGCCTCAGGCCATTCAAGATATAGATGTGTTTGTTTCTTTATTGGAGCAGATTTGAAAAAAAATTAGCATTTTATCACTTGCTCACCAATGGATCCTTTGCAGTGATTGGGTGCCGTCAGAATGAGAGTCCAACAGCTATGTGCTTGTAAGAATAAAATCCATCATTTGGTGTTTTAACTTTAAACTTCATCATTCATGGCCAAAATACCAGTCCATAATCCATAACAATGCTTCCAACAGTGAAAAAGTCTATCCTCTGTTGTTCAAATCCACCCACATATTTGCTTAGAACGGTTTGGACTGTTTTCCTTTGTGAACAGTGCTTAATCTGTGCATATTTCTTTCCTGAATCAGATGAGATGACTTTTTCACTGGACAAAGCAATGTTATGGACAGTGGGACTCATATTTTAGCTGGAAGCAACAGTTTGACGTTAAAACATCTTAATGATGGATTTGTTTACTAAACACTCATCCTTTTGCTTTACAAAACGTTACCTTGTTGTGGATTACTTGAGGATTATTGTGATGCTTGGACTCTCATTCTGACGGCACCCATTAATTGCAGATGATCTCTTGGTGAGGAAGTAGTGTAATGATATTTTTTTCCATATCTGTTCCAATGGAGAAACAAACTCTTAGGTGGCCTAAGGGTGAGTAAATTTTCAGCAAATTTTTATTATTGGATGAACTGTGCAAAGACTTTCTGAGATCACTGAAGTCTTTTTCACATCACAAGCTAGATACTTCACCCATCTCCATTTTTTTCTCTATTTAGTCTTATTGTTGTCCAACTAAGATACAAAGATCTCATTTGTGATTTCCTTGCCAATGTGTTGTTTTGAACGGCCTGTGTTTTGTTCTGTTTGTTTTGCTCACATGCATGGATCATAAAGACATTATCGGCTAAACAACTGATTACATATTAAAATGAAATATGAAAACAGCAACATAATAGCCATGTCAGATAAAGTGATGTAAAGGCTCTATTAAGCTCTTCACAGAGTAGTGTTTCATCTAATTAAAGCATGCAGGCTCACAGAGCACCTCTCAAGGGCTGCCTTCTCTCTTGCCATTCTGAGGGATTTAGCATATTTTGATTCCTGGCACGTTTTTGAACAGGCTTATATTGTAATCACCTTTTCTAATTGCCCACGGTGCAAGCTTGCCTGAACCCCAGAGACTTCTTTCTGACCTACACAGTGTACTTAATGTCCCATTACCACAAATGAACTCTCTTTCCTCTGCTAAAGGGAAGTTCGAGTTAGACCTACTCCGCAGGAAAGAATTGCTCACGTGGAACAACTGCTCATGTTCTCTGTGTCGGCGTCGAGACCGATTCCAGTATCGCTCATTTGGAATGTTTGGTTTGCTAGACCTTTGATCAAATCACCTTTATTTATATAGAGCTTTATACAATGGAGATTGTTTCAAAGCAGCTTCACATACAGAATTAAACAGAAAAGCAAAAGAATCAATGATGCCAACTTATGGGACACCAAATACACAAAATAATGATCTTTAAAATAGCCTCATATGACCCCTTTAAAATTCTGCTAAAGACAATAGTGTCATTTTGCAGCTCCAGTCAGTTCAGTGTTGATTCAGTTTAGTTCATTAACTGTCAATGTTGCACAATTTGGCTAAATTTATGAATGAATTTGATTCAGCTATAAAGCAGCTCTACAGGAGACAATGGTGTAATTTTCAGCCTAGTTCAGTTTTGTTCTCATCTGATTGCATTGCCCATCACGTGAAAATCATATGTGTGATCACTAAAATATAAATAGACCACAGCACAAGTTGTACAGTTTGAGGTATCATTACAGTATGTCTGTAGCAAAACAGTTTGGATTTTTGTTCACTGATATATGAGTCATAATAATAGTTGTGGTTGCCATAGTAAGAACCACCAGAAAGAATTATACATCTGAGTTGGGTGTCAGGTCAAACCAGCAGTTTAAGTATCCCCACTATAACATGTGAGCAACACATAGTAATTACTCACCTCGTAGAATTGGATTGGTTAATTTGTCTTCTACTGGTAAGCCAGAGCCCAGAGTTTGAAGTGAGGATAATGCAATTTTTCCTTGAAGTTCAGGTCCCTCTGGGTTCAGGCTAATTTTGCCACCTTCTTTATCTTTGAGAGTACATATGAGACCAAAATAAAATACAATGACTTTGTAATAGCAGACTTCAAAAGTCAACAAGGAATTAATTTCAAGAGAACTCGTGGCATGAATCTCTAGAGGGAATGTCATCTGTCTGATTAACATTTTATTTTAAAACAAGTGCAAGATTTTGATGGCCAAAGGCAAAATATCAGTACTGAGCACATGAAAAGTCCTGTTTTAATCAATATTCAATAAATTAATTAATTAATTAAATAAAAATGATTTGTACAATGACAGTATGAACATACTTAAACTGACTGACATAAATAAATCCTATCATTTACTGAATATATATCATTCAAAAGTTTGGGGTCAGTATGATTTAAAAACAATTTGGAAAGATAATTTGATTAAAGGTGACAGTAAAGACTTTTACAATGCTACAAAAATGTTCTATTTCAAGTAAATGCTGTTTTTTTTTTTTACTTTCTATTCATCAAAGAATCTTGAAAATGTATCACAGTTTCCATAAAAATTCTAAGAAGCACAACTGCACAACTTTAATAGCATTTTAGAATGTTTTCTGAAGGATCACGTGACACTGAAGACTGGACTAATGGCTGCTGAAAACAATTATTTGCAATAGTAATAATATTTCACAATATTACTGTTTTATTGTATTTTTGATCAAATAAATGCAGCATTGGTGAGCATAAGAGGCTTTCAAAAAAAATGTAAAAGTCTTAACGACACCAAACTTTTGAACAATAGTGTATAATATATACAGTGTATTTAATAAACTCACCTGTGTTTGATTTTTCTCTCCTCACATTCTGGATTCTCTGTGGTCTCCTAGAGCCCATTTTCTCAGCGGATGGCCTTTCAAGTGGAGGTCGTGGCTGTACATTTTCAGTTCTGCCTATATTCGGAAACATAATACAGTACTAAAAAGATTGCTTTACCCAAACTACATTCCTTCTAAAATCTAATTTTTGTACCAACATTTTAATTAACCTCAAAATATACTAGATAATGTTATGTGTCAAGAAAATAAATGAATGTGTATTTGCCTGACGGTATGTTGAGGCTCAGTTCAGACTTGGTTCTTTCTTCTTTCCTGTTTGCAGATGAGCTGCTCTTCCTGGCAGTGAGCGGAGGGGGTCCGATAACTTTTGACCCGAAAGCAATATGGGACGAGTCCCGCGGTGTAGGACCCCTTGTGATGGATGCTTTGACACCACCTGTCTCTTCTAGTAAACAGACATGCGCAAAACATTTACAAAAACTTAGCTGATATAACCCTATAACGCCCACATTTATATTTGATATGCAGATTTCTAAGGCTTCTAAATTATATAAAATATAATACAATAAGTTTTAAATTGTAAGTAATATTTCAAAGCTACAGAGGCTTGGTTATAAAACTAAGCATTTAAATATAATCTTACTAAGAAATATTATTGGGCGAAATAAAGTGATTACTAATATTTGCATGCTTTTTATGTAAGTAGTTTGCTATACTCTTAAATACTTCACTGATTTACAAGTTATCACAATTTCTTTTTCACTTTTTGGCCATATAAATAACAGCAAATGTACCTAATTGCCTGTTTTTGCTCAGTTTGGGCCTCTGAATAAATTTGAGGTGTTTTTTTTCCTCTTTTAGTATGAGCTCCATATTCTAACCATATCATACTATATGGGCCATTAAAAGCCTGATGTTTCAAATATGATGCTCAAGAAAAAAACATACTTGAGTTTTTACAGCTGGTGGACTCTTTTAATTTCACACAGTTTATTTCAAATCCAACCCATGAGCAAGGCCATATTTTGGACTTGGTCTTATCTCTGGGCCTTCCTATTTGTAATGTCGATGTTTTAAATTATGGTCTGTCTGATCACATGCCTGTAATTTTTAATGTTGTTATGCCATGCAAACCAGTTTTGCCACAGTCAGGTGTGTTTTGTTCTCGTCTTATTACTTCATCCACGGCGGTAGAATTTTCTGAGGTATATAATTCCTCTTCATTTGTTTCTGTTATTGGCCCTATTTTATTTTCATTGTATATGTTGCCCCTGGGTTCAATTTTTAAAAAATACGGCATGTCGTACCATTTGTATGCGGATGATACTCAGATCTATTTACCTATGAGAGTGGGAGAGAACAACAGTTCTAATTTGCTATTTGCATGCCTAGAGGAGGTTAAGAGCTGGATGACTCAAAATCTGCTTCAGCTGAACCGGAGTAAAACTGAGATTATGTTTTTTGGCCCTGCCAGAGGATGTTTAGATATGTCCACATATTTGTTTGACCCAGAGCTGAAATTTGACAAGTAGATTAATGCTGTAGTAAAGACTTACTACTACTTATAAGCCTATTCTGTCAAGAAAAGACTTAGAGAAGGTTATTAATGCCTTTGTTTTGTCTCGTTTGGATTATTGCAATGTGTTGTATGTGGAGTCCTGTCAGACCACTATCTCACGCTTGCAATTAGTTCAGAATGCAGCAGCTAGGCTGCTAGTGGGTGCTAAGAAAAGTCATCATATCTCTCCTATTTTAGCTTCTCTCAAGTGGCTACCAGTGAACTACAGGATAAAATATAAAACTCTTCTGTATGTTTTTAAAGCAGTGCATGGGTTGGCCCCTGCTTACGTGTCTGAGCTCGTTGCTGTTCGTCAAGCACCTAGGTCTCTAAGATCCAATAATAAGTTATTGCTTACTGTCCCTCGTACTCATTTAAAGTTAAAAGGGGATCAGGCCTTTGCTGTTGCGGGGCCGAAGCTCTGGAATAGTCTTCCTCAGGAACTTAAGAGAAGTCTCATCTTTGAATGTTTTTAAAGTTGAAGTCAAAAACTACTTCTTGTCTTTAACCTTTGAGAGGGTGGGCTAGTTTTTGTTGTTAGTAGGATCTGTGTTGTTTTAAGTCGTGTTTTAATGAAGTGTTTTTTTTGTTTTTTTTTTGATTGTACAGCACTTTGGTCTGCAGGTGCAGTTGTAAAGTGCTCTATAAATAAAGTGAATGAATACTGTACGCGAACTTATTTTTTAGATTTTTTTAGAAAGAAAGAAAAAGATGGATTGTTTCGGCCCAAATTAATCCCCGAGTATTCTAACATCTGCCATTCCAGTGAAGTGATGATGTATTAAAACATAATATTTGTATTTAGACTAACAATATAACAACATCCTCTATGACTGTTTTCATGTTCATAATCCTTGTAATTGTGAGGCCCTTGCCATCTGTTGGTTTGCAATTGGCGTATTTTCAATTGTTATTTAGCGCAATGCTGCAAGAAAAAGCAGCGTTAAGGTCATGGCAACCTGGCAACAAAACACAAAATACTGCCATTTGTCATTTCAATATAACAGCCAGCTCAGGATCCAAGGCTGTAAGCTACATCTACACGGTTTCATACACAAGGTCCACGGTGTTTTGATACGTTGTTGCTAGGTGATGAAACAGGGGAAATTATTAATGTAGAACGAGAGACTGCGGTCTTTTGTTGCAATATTTGTATATGTAGAAACATTTGATATGATCTCATTACAGTCCAACACCTCTTGTCAGTGATTGACCTCCTGTTATATTAATATCTTGCTAGTGCATTATTTGAGTCTTTTTCGAGAATCTAAGGGTGAGATGACAGCAGTCTGGCACTGTGATATGAGGCCAACAGATGTCTGGATAAATAAAAACTGTAAGAACAGCTATGAAGGTCTCACTGGGCTGGCAGAGTGGACAGGTATGTGACTAAAGAGAGATGATTAGAGCTCTCTTGGCAAGAGGTGTCTCTCGTCAGTAAACTAACAGACAGCAAATAGCAGGAGAGTTCTTCAGGGTCTGACCTTCTGTTTAGCAAAGAACAAACGGCAAAAACACAAAACTTTGACTCAGTTAAGGAAATGTAAAACTACAAATAGAAACTAAGCAAAGAAGGGATTGGTGTTGAACGATAAAGTAACTGACCGGCGTCTGAGTTTGCAGTCTGCCCCAGTGTCTTCATGTTCACCAGCTGGACAACATGCTGAACTTCACTTGGAAACTGGCAGTTTCTCGGAATCTCTTCTATTGGACCGTTACTTATTTCTAAACCTTGAGTAAAATACAAAAAGTAGAAGCTTTTCAGGCAATGAGAAAACAATGTTGTGAAGATGCATCACCAAGCAAAGAAACAGATCTAGGCTAAAATGTCAAAAACAGAATATTAAGGCGAAGCATTTGGCACTTTCCATGAATTGTTTAATGTTTATGCTTTTCAACAAATGGTCAGTGAAAAGACGTGCTTAACTTTCAGACATTCAACCAAGGTCAAACAACACATTTTATAAGCTTTTGTGTTTTCTGTGAGATTTGCAGTTTTCTGCAACCCTGTTGTGTGAGTTTGAAAACATTTTATGAATGTTTGAATACAGTTTAACTACAGTTTAATTAATTTAATTATTATTTTTTAAATATTCGTAACATTCATTGTATAATTAATATTAATATAATATAAAATGTTTTTAAATACATATTTGTTTATAATTTATAATAATATAATAATCATAATAATTATTATTATTATTATATTTGTAGTTTTCTGCAACTCTGTTGTGTGTTTGAAAGCATTTTATGAATGTTTGAATACAGTTTAACTACAGTTTAATTAATTTAATTATTATTTTTAAATATTCTTAACATTCATTGTATAATTAATATTAATATAATATAAAATGTTTTTAAATACATATTTGTTTATAATTTATAATAATCATAATAATAATTATTATTATTATATTTGCAGTTTTCTGCAACTCTGTTGTGTGAGTTTGAAAGCATTTTATGAATGTTTGAATACAGTTTAACTACAGTTTAATTACTTGAATTATTATTTTAAAATATTCTTAACATTCACTGTATAATAATATTAATATAATATAAAATGTTTTAAAATACATATTTGTTTATAATTTATAATAATAATAATATAATAATAATAATTATTATTATTAATTATTATATTGCAAATGTAGCAGAAATGAAGCTAAGGACAAAGTAGTTTGGGATCAAATGTTGTTTGTCTATATTTGCAAGCTACATTTGTCACATTGTATATATATATACCTGGGAGTCCATATAGACAACAAACTGGACTGGACATCAAATTCAACAGCACTCTTCAAGAAAGGTCAAAGCAGGCTGTATTTTCTGAGGAGGCTCAAGTCTTTTAACGTCTGCAACACTATGCTGCAGATGTTCTATGAGTCTGTGGTGTCTAGTGTCATTTTCTATGCGGTGGTCTGTTGGGGAAGTAGTATGAAGGTGGCAGACAGAAATAAACTGGACAAACTAGTTAGGAGGGCTGGCTCTGTACTTGGCATGGAGCTGGACCCTGTTCACGTTGTGGCTGAGAGAAGGATATTGTCAAAACTTTACTCAAACCTGGACAATCCTTCTCACCCACTACACAGTGTGCTGGTCGACCAGAGGAGCACATTCAGCCAGAGACCGATTAGTGCCAAGTGTTCCACTGAGCGCTTCAGAAGATCCTTTATCCCTGTGGCCATTAGGCTGTACAACTCCTCTCTATAAGTGCTGGGACATTTTTTGAGTAATGCATGTGCAATACATGTTCATTTCATATGCAATAAGGGACTTTTCTTGTGCAATGCAATTTATTATTATTATTACTGCCTATTTATTAATACTAAGATTAGTGTGCAATGCATACTATATAACTACTGTACTTAATTACCATTACCATACTGGACTTATTATATTCCACATTTGTCATTCCATTCCACTTGAATTAATTTCATATTTGATCTAAACTACCATTTTCACTGGTATAGTTTTATATTATTATTTGTATGCGTTACTTATTCATTTTTTAATTTTATTGATATATAGGTATATATTTATTCATTTTATTAGCTTTTTCTTTCTTTCTTTCATTTCTATCTTTCTTTCTTGAGAGCAATTGTAACATGGAAAGCAATTTCCATTCTGGGATTCATAAAGTTTTTTTTAATCTTGAA